GGCCCTGTACGTATATTTTGTTGGCTTGTCAGTTGTAGTAATTATGCCGGCCTTGCCGGCCCATCTTTATGTTGACATATAGTCAGCGTTAGTCTCTATTCAGTTTTATATTTTTCATCGCACATTATCTTGTAATGTGGCCCATGGCCAAAGTATGACATTATATGTCCATAGTTACTGTGTGGCAAGTTAGTATGCAAGGATAGTTGAGGCACCGGGTGCCGGTCTCGCCCCCAGGCTCGGGGCGTGACACACCCAGCCCAAAAAAATCTTCCAAAGCGGATAAGTCGACACCATCAAAAAAGGAATGAAGGGGATTTTCCTTGCCATGGACCACTTCATTGGACCTCTCCTTTCCTGCTTGGGCCTCCTCGAGCATAGACTCGATGTAGAAGGGCATCCCCGCAATTTCTATTACAACGGGCGCTTCATTCTGAGCGGAGCCGGCATCCCGGGGGGTCTTATCCCTCATCTCTACATCGATCTCCCGAGTCTGAGGGAGGTCGGCCTCATGAATCTCCCTCTCGGTTATTGCCTGCTCTAGGGGAGGGGGTCGATCTATGGGCCACAAAAATATTGTCTTCTTCGGAATCATCCCTGAGCCGAAGAAACGAATCCGACTTTGGTGCTCGGAAGTTGGAGCTCTTATATGGCTTACGAGCCACCATTTTCTTTGGTTTTACCATCAATCTCGGGGAGCCCGAAGCCTTTCTTTTCTTCTTCTTCTTTTCCCCCATGGGAGCCCCGGACTGTCTTGTAATGGAGGGATCAACAGACAAGGACAAGTCCTCATTCCCTTCTAAAGGCCTAAGTTCGGTGGTCTTAGGCAAACCTACAAAAAATTGAGGGGAAGAAAAGTCAATATGATGTAAGTTAAAAGGCATGTTATTAAATATTCTGGAAAGACCTTAACATGAGAACGGGCCTCTCGTCGTCCCTTTGAGAGCTTACGCTATGCACGCTCGGAATACATCATATGTGAGTAGATGCCCTCGATCCACTCCTATAGCCGGGGAACCGTATTTGGGACCCGGGCAACAACTGCACAACCACAAGTGTGAGTCAGGAGAAAGAAAATGATGAACAAATTCACACATAGGGAGAGACTGCACTTACGAGATGCATTCCACTTCTCAGGGAATGACATGAACTCGGGAGGGATCAAATCTTCGATCTTCACCCGAACGAAGCGGCCCTGCCATCCCCGATCTCGATCTTCATGAATGCTCGAAAATAGGGCCTTGTTGGCCCGGCGGGTGCTCTTTATCTGTCCCCCTCAAAAAATTCGGGGACTGTATAAACGTAGTAGATGATCGATGGTAAATCGATGAGACTCGATCTACGATCCTCCATAGAGACAGATGAATTTGTTCGAGGCACACTTCGTACCTCTTGCAAAAATCCAAAATAACCGGGTCCATCGGGCCTAGTGTGAAGGGGTAAGTGTAAATACTTAAGTATCCCTCCACGTGGATAGTAATGGCGTCCTCGGGCCGGGGGACTACTTACAGTCCTTTCGGACCACGGGAAGGACGTCTTCGGTCACCGAGCATATGTACCTTGATGCTCCATCACCCCGGTCCTGTTTGCGTGACGATTTCTCGGCCTTAAAGTCATCTGGAATTGAGCAGCCCCCAGGAATAAATATTTTCAAGGGGGGCTCGGGGACCGGTTCGTCGGCATCCACCTCGGGAGTAGCCGTTTCGGGGGCAACTACTTCAGGAACATCCGCCTCAGTACCGACGGCCAATTGGAAAGATGAAGAGGCAACTTATTGAGGAACTGATTTAGATGTTTTAGCCATTTTTATCTGAAATTTTTTTGAAAATTTGAAGAAAGAGAAATAAATTTGGAAGATGAAGAAAAAACTATGATGATTGAAGGAAATCTGGGTAGAAACCTGGAAATCACTATGAAAATTGAAGAAAAAGGATGAAGATGTGAAGGTTTGGAGAAAATTGATGATAACCTGAAAGCTCGAAGGTAGAATTTAGGTCAGAAAGTGGGAAAAGAACAAGTTACAGAAGCTTTTATAAAGAAAGTTCGCGTCGCTTCGCATTCGGAAGCAACCGGCCTATGGTTGACACGCGACGCGACTGATGGGAAGTTTCAGCTTCTTCGTCGTTTCTGTTATAACGTACGGGAGAAGGAACCGGAGAACCTCTATCGTTTCTCATCATTTCGGCAAGCCTGCTCTCTAAGAAACAAGGGGACTATCTGAATACAGGTAAAATCGGGGGTAATGAACACCCCGGTTTTCCGGTGGGGCGAACGAAGTGAGGGCATAGCTGCATGAAATCAGAGTCGAAGTGTCGTGATATCCGTGCCCAACCGGATATCACAGCGTGGATCTCGGCCCGTATCAACAGCATATCAGTGATTAGCGAAAAGGAAGATTTTTACCTTTCTTAGGATTATACCTAGGGTAAAACTCCTCTACCATATAAAGGGAGAGTCTATTATTCAACAAACACTTTGTAACACACATACCAAGGCAATATACATCTGTTTTCTCTGTTTACAAAAGTTATTCAAAGCTCTTACTTTTGTTTATAAGTTATTCATAAGTGTTGGCTTGGGAACCGAAGGCAGGCTTCTTGGTAAGCTTCTAACCGAGCCCGGACTCATTATCTTCATTGGTTCGGCTATTTATCCTATCTTTTATTTGCTTATCTAACGGCATTAATCACTTGTATCGAATTAGTTCACATATCCTTAAAATCGCATATAAATTCAATTGTTATCCGTTTTTAAGGGTAAACATAAATAAGTATTAGTAATATAAGAATTAGTTATCAGTGATTAGTTATGCATAACTTAGTTATGTAGGGGTTGTTTGGTATGTGGGACAAGAATAATAATCCCGCGATAAAATTTGTGATTAACTTTATTTCATGTTCTGTTTGAGGTATTAGCTAATCACTAGATAACTTTTACACTAAAATAGTGGGATTAGTTATCCCTCGTAGAAGGTGAGTAACTAATCCGGGATGGGATATCTCACCATTGTACCAAACGAACCCATATAGATTAATTATGGAGGGATTAGTATTAAGTAGGAATTAGTTATGCGAATATTAATTATGTAAGGATTAGTAATATAAAAATGTAATGTGAGTATTATTTATTATTAGTCTAGTTTATTCCGTTAAACTTATTAATATATTTCATAAAAAATTTAAAAAATATAAGTTTGAATAGAGGGTATTCTTGTTATTTGGTGTTTAATATAAGTATGGCTAATACATGAAAAATAAGGGCATTTATTATAATTTCAATGCATATTGAGCGTGGTTAGTTCAGGTCTTTTTGCATGAGAGATCTCGTTCCAACAGTTTTTCCATGAAGCCTCTCTTTTTATTTTGAGGATGAGACCTTTTATTCCACCTTCTACCCTTTTCTCATAACTTAGTCGCATAAGAGGTAAACTTCAAAGTGGGTTCTCAAGTTTCAAACTTTGAATTCGAACCTTAAGACGGAAGTTAGGCCTTTGCATAATCTAACTTTAAACTGAAGGTCTAGAGTTCTGGTTTTGACAGTTCGAATTAGTACTCCCCCATTTCAATTTAGATGAGATAGTTTGACTCGATACGGAGTTTAAGACAAAAAAAAGACTTTTGAAACTTGTGATCTTAAAAGCTTAAAAGGGTAAAAGTTTTGTGGGGCTATGACATTTGTATGGTTATATATAAAAGTTTCTCATCAAGGGTAAAATGTGTAAAATGAAGAGTTTAAAATTGAATTATTTTTAATTGTAGAAATGTGTCATTCTTTTTGAAACGGACTAATAAGGAAATTGTGTCATCTAAATTAAAACAAATGGAGTAATTGACAGTTCAAAAATTTTCAAACTCATAGTCTAAAGTTCGAACTATCCTTAAGTTTTTATCCAACACCCTAGTTTAGTTTCTTGCTCCTTAATAAGCATTTCACCCTTAATTATTAAATTTATGACTCAATAAGTACCTACATTATTGTAAAGATCAAATTTTGAAGGTATGAATTTAAAGCATATGATAAACCAACATCTAGCAATTCAAAATTGCTAGGCACTTCTAAATGGAGGAAAAGAAGAAACTTGCAGTCTAAAATTTATAAAAACTTACTAATTTTAAAAACTAAATATATTTTAAATAGAGATGCTCAAAGCGGCTATTTGGTGCCATGGCTAAAGAAATTTGCATATATGAAAATTGGGAAAAAAAAAATATTCAGATTTACAACTAGTAATTAAAAAAAAGTTACAGTTTCAAAAGTAATCTAAATTTAGCCACCCTTTTTTTAAGATAAAATCTGAACAAAAACACCCTTATTCCAGCATAATATGGCGGAGTTCGAATTTGTTTACATATGAGCTTCCAACATAATGTGATGGAGTTTCAATATAATATACGAAAAGTTTACATGCATGAACTCCATAATCCCGCATATTATGTTGGAACTTTCCATGTGCTGCAGTCAGCGGCAGATTCAGGATTTTAAAGTCATGGGTGCTGATCGATAAAAATTCCAAAAGGAGAGAAACAATGAGTTTAATTGCGGGTGCTTACTCAATATTTATGTACGTATTTTTATAATTGCCTATGCAAATTTACTACATATGGTCAAAGGTAATGGGCGCTTAAGCACCCACAAATGTCAATGTGGATCTGCCACTGGCTGCAGTTGCAACAAATATATTGGAAGTTGTACGCAAGAGCTCCATAATCCCGCATAAATATTATGCTGGAACTTTTTGTGTTACAGCAAAATATTAGTTATTTTTTAATGACTTTGACTATGCTGACTATTATTTAATTATCAGTACGAAAACTGACCAGCCCGTTCTATTTTCACGTAATGTTGATAATGAGTTCAAATGAAGCCCATGATGAGATGTTGGGCTGCCTCAGAAAGGGCCCATCGGGTTTCAAAGTACAGAAAATTGAACGGCGCAAAAAGTTTTTTTTGTTAAATTTGGGAACTCAAAAACCCTAGGTTTACAAAGCCTCACGGCAACTATTGCTATATAAACCCTTCTAAAACCCCTCTTTCTTCCGCCCTCTCTATTCTCTGCTCTTTGCATATCAGTCTTCTGTCTCCTTCTGCCTCCCCTTTCTCCGCTCCAAAACTTAAGCTTTAACCAACAATCACCAATGGAGTTTTGGGGTATGCTTTAAATTCCATATATATATGTCTTTTTTTTTTTGTCTTTGTTGGTAATTATTTGAAAAGAAAGCATGTTTCTCAATCTTATTGCTGTGTTTCTAGTAGAATGTTTTGATTCAGTGTTAAGGTCGCATTAATCTTGTTTGGTTATGTGTGAAGGCTATAATCTTTACCAGGCTTTATTGCTATTATTGTTTTAAAGGTTTAATCTTTCTGATGAAATTTAATTACCCAAGTTATGACATGGACAAAAGAATTAAAGCTGTAAGCTTTCCTCAAGGTTTTGGGAAAGTTGAATGCTTAACTTTGAAATAATGATTCTATGACATCACTTCTTGTTTTTGCTAAGTTATAGAGTTTTTATAGTTGTATACTCTTCATAGCCTAGCGGACTTGCTAAAAAAGGTGTCTTCGAAATTTTTTGGTGTGAAATAGTTAAAACCAATAATGTGTGGTTTTGAATTGGAGTTAAAACTTTTGAACCAAAGCCAACCAACCCAAAAGGTGTTTTTTTTTTTACTTTTTTCAAATAAAGTATATTTGTCTTTTAGATATTTTAGAAGTATATAACATGATATAGGATTTAAGTTATATACAGTGTAAAGGATTTTACACCATCAGTGCTGTTTGACTTACTGTAGTAGTCAGTGTAAACATTTTTTATGCCGTCACTTAAACCTCGTATATAAATTGAACCACAAAGACCTGTGCTTTTTTCTTCAAACTTGCTCCTCAATTGCTTGTTGTTATAAATTGTTCCATGGTTTTAGAAGTTAGTTCTGACACCATGTGCCTTGGAACTTGTTAAACTGATATCTCTTTCACATAAATTATGTGTAGGTGTTGAAGTGAAAGCAGGAGAATCTCTAAAGGTCAGGCCAGAGCTTTATAAGCTCATTCATATTTCCCAGGTTAGTGTTTTTGATCTTGTCTTTGTATTCTCTCGTACTAGCTTAGTGTCGACACTTGCATATTCTTTCTCGGGAATTTTTGAATGCTGAAATCTTGATGTTGCAGGCAGCTTTAGGTGAAGTGAAGGATGCCAAAGAAGCCAAAAATGTTCCACTACGCGTCACTGTTGGAGAAAACAACTATGTCATTGGAACTCTATCGGCTGAAGAAAGACCTCAATTGATGTTTGATTTGGTTTTTGAAAAGGAGTTTGAACTTTCACATGGCTGGAAAAATGGGAGTGTCTACTTCATTGGATACACAGCTGATGACCCAACATATCCTTTGCTTAAAACTATTCAATTGTTTGTCAGTACTTTTTTAATACTAAATATACTCCACTATTCAGTTAGTAACATAAAAGCTTATTAATGTTTTTTAGTGTTACCAAATGATAATGGGATGCACGAGTTATTGGTTTTCTTCTTGTATTGTTTTCCTTGACTTCACCTTTTTGGTTGTTTCTTCTGTCTGCACTGATGAAATTGACTCTGGTGAGTTTTTGGATGTCAAATTATGTTAGAGAAACATAGATTTGTTAGCTTAAGCTAATTGTGTTTTTTTAATCTCTCTAGAGGATGAAGATTCTGAGGATGAAGAAAATGTTTTAGCTGCTCTAAATGGTTAGTTCCTTCAATCTCTTCCCATGTTGTCACTTTGTACTCTCTTTTCTCAAATTCTGCTCTCCCATTTCTTATTTCTGAATGTTTGTTGACTATCAAAATTCTTAGGGAAACTTGAGGAGCAAAAGGCTGATGTGAAGGATGTCAAGCCTGTGACAAAAGAGGCTGCACCTACTAAGGCAAAAGCTGCAGTAGCTGAACCAAAGAAGGCTGAGTCTGATGATGATGACGACGATTCTGATGATGAAGATGATAGTGACGAGGCAGAAGATGGCATGGTATGATTCATAATGACTTTTATGTTGCTTATTCTTCATATTTTATTTATTTACTGTGAGGAAAAATGCATTACCTCATGATTACTAACTTGTTTTAATTTTAAGCTGCTTATTTGCAAACGTTTGTGTACTTTGTATTCTATCTATGTGTATTGAGCTTTTTTCTTTGCTTTGGATTTTTTAGGATTCTGATGGTCCAGAAGGAATGGATTTTTCTGACGATTCTGAGGATGATGATGATGATTCGGAGGAAGATGAGTCGGAAGAAGAGACACCCAAAAAGGTACTACTACATTTTGCTTGTTTAATATTTGTGCTTAATTTGTTTCATACTTTTGAGTTGGAATCAATTGGCTTAACTTGCATAGTGTTTTGTCTAATTGAGTGTTTTACGATGCAGAACAAGAGGCCTGCTCCCCCTGCTAAAGCTGGTTTTGCCAAAAAAGCAAAACAAGCTACACCGGACAAGTCAGGTTGGATATATTTTTCATCCTTAAAATGTTTGATCATGGAATAATGAAACACAACTTAATAACGAATGTTAATGTAGGAGCTCGGTTCCATTGACTAATATTTTCTTTTTGCAGGTGGTAAGAAAGGTCCAGCAACACCTGCCTTTGCTAAGCAAAATGGTAAACCTGCAGCAACCAATGGTAACAAGGGGAAAGGTCAGAGCCCAAAGTCTGGTGGCCAGTTCTCTGGCAAATCTTCCAACAACAAGTATGTACAAACTCATTTACAAAGCTCATTCCTGTTTCTTGCATCCTTCTCTGCATATTGGCTAATTTTTATTGACAATTTGTGTTGCAGAAACTTCAGTGGCCAACAAAAAGGTGGTTTCAAGGGTAAGCATGGAAAGAAGTAGGCTACTAACCGTGGTGGACAAGGCATGATGGCATATATGAAGTCTTTGAAGAGGAAAAAGTATTTTATTTTTTAGTTAAAGGGAGATTATCCGTGCTTTAAGCTATTTTCCGTAGTTATAAGTAGGTCAATTTTGGATGAGAGTGCTCCTTACCAGTAAGTTTTGTTGCCATATTCATTTTCTAGAACACCTTTTGTGATACATTTTTGGGATCATATATTATTCGTATTCGAAGTTAATTGTTTTGTTGCGGTATAAAACTGTTGCAAGCATTATCTTAGAGATTGCATTTGTGACGATTTAACTTGTGTCATAAAAAAATAAGTGAATTTTGTTTCAAATTTTTAAAATTTTGGCAACTTGGTGGGGAGGATATGGAGAACTGGTACCCAACTTTGAAATAACTTAAAGCTTTGAGACCCTTTTGGAGTCTTGACTTGCTCCACAGCAAAAGAATTGTCATTGAATCATGAATAAAATAGTATTCTCCTGACACTAGTATTTTGAGAAATATAAATCTGTCGATTCTTTTGTCCCCAGAGGCATATGTAGGATACTATTTACACGGTTCAAATGGGGTAGATATTTGGCCAGTTTGATCAACTCTGGTTTCGATTCTAGTTATTCATTTTTATGGTTTATACTTCATACAAACAAATAGACGAGTGAAAAAGCTAATTCTGACAACTTTGTTCAAAGCATAAAACTTCCAATGGTATTTTACTAGTATCATAAATTGTCTTCCAAAATGCTACCTACTATAATCAATTGGACATACTCCATTGAGTAGTTCGTAGTGCATTTTATTCAGAATAGGCACCAGAGAGTGAATCGACCTTGACGGATAATAACTTTTAGAAATAGCAAATTAACTTTATTGAGCAAGCCATATCAAGAAGAAAATTCAGTCAATAAATCAACAAGACAGTCTTTCCATTGGAGGATGACTGAGACTGACAGCCGACGGAGGGAGCAGCGGCACCGGCCACCAAGGAGGAATCTTCAGCCCCTTACAAGTGGCAAGCTACCCCTCGAGCCTTAGTAGATCCGTCCGTGCTTGTCCCATATCTCTTAGTTGTTGGAACTACTTCACGATAAAAGTAATTTGTGTTAAAGTAATGCTTATTCTATTACACACGTTTAAGGAATTAATTAACATCAATTGTTTTTCCAAAAAAAAAAGTAGTCAGGAAGTGTGTTAACACTTTCCAATTACTATTAAATGATCGCAAATTGTTCCTCATTATTAAACTAGCAAAATCAAATTTTCCATCTTGTTGTAGTAGTTAGGGAATCGAATGGTCTCTCTTGGATGTGAATTTTATTCTTCTTTGTAGTTTCTGCACCAGAATTTCGTCAAAAGCTGCCCCACTATCTGCATGATTGGCACTCCTTGCAGGGGGCGAAGCCAAAGTGTTGGATGCGAGTTGCAGCCAAACCCAATAGTTTTTGTTCAAACCCTATATTAGTTGTAAAATATCCATGTAATATGTATGAATAACTAAATTAAAAACTAGTAACTTAAAAAAATTATAATCCCGAACCCATAGAGTTCAAATCCTAACTCCGCTTTGCTCCCTTGAGAGTTGAGACATACCAGTATTTGGTCACTCTGCTTCCTATTTAAACTTAGCTTAAACATAATTCGTGTAATGGCAAGAAGCAAGGAGTACACAAAAGAAAGATATGTCGAATTAATACTCAGAAAAGATAAAATGTTATCGCAATACAAGCTTGGCATCTAAGTTATTGCTCAAGAAACTTCAGATGACCGCGCCACAAGCTTGTTTTTTTGGTTTAGAAAAAATGGATAGTTGTATCCTTTAAAAGGGATTGGCCTGGTGGCAATTGACTTGAGCCTTGGGGTATGCTCCCTTTCAAGGTCTCAAGTTCGAAACCCACTGGGTGCAAACAATTTCTGAGGGCCATCGGGCTGGGTAAAACCTGAATTAACCGTGGTGCACTTGCGGGAAACTCCTTGCCGAGGGCCTGTGCACCCCCGGGATTAGTCGGGACTCATAGAGACTCGGACACCCGGTGCAAATCAAAAAAAAAGAAGCAAATTTTGCTCTTGGCTTCTGCTATACTACTCTTTCTGATTGTCAACATACTAATTGGCACCCCGTCATCCAAGTTCGGATATTCTATATATTCTGCCCCAACCTCCAAAGTAATTTAGCTTAGTTAGACTGAATATATCTTTCAATACTAAAAGCAATTAGAGCAGGAAGTCACCCAGGGCACAGCCCCCGCTGCCGACCAAGATCAACAAATAAACGATACAACAACAAATCAATATAATCCCACAAATGAGGTTTAGGGAGGGTAGTGTGTACGCAAACCTTACCCCTATATCTTGGAGTAAAGAGACTGTTTCCGATAGACTCTCTGCACAAGAATATGAAATGCAACAATAGAATAATAATAATAACAACATAATCAGAAAGATAGTACCAGCGAGCTAAGAATCAAAATATACCTAAAAAAACAATATCAATAATCAGTGCAGTGACAAGGTCCTAGAAAATAGTACGAGCACAACATGTACTTACTAGCATACTAAAACACAACATAGACCGAATAGATACACACGGAACGGAGTAGAAAAACGCCCAACTACTTACTAACCTTCAATCCTAATGCTCTCCCTCCGTACCTTCCTATCAAAGGTCATGTCTACGGTGAGCTGGAGTCGCGCCATGTTCTGTCTGATCACCTCTCCCCAATACTTCTTAGCTAGTCCTCTACCTCTTCTCATACCCATCAGAGCCAACGGATCGCGCCTCCTAACAGAGACATCTATGCTTCTCTTTTGCTCGTGCCCCAACCGTTTAATCCTCCCTTCCCGCATATTGTCTTCTATGACCAAGCCCACCCTTGCCCGAACATATTCATTCTTAATCTTATCCAACCCCGTGTGCCCAGACATCCATCTCAACATCCTTATTTTTACTATTTTCATCTTCTGGATATAGGCAATCTTGACTGACCAACATTCTACCCCATATAACATAACCGGTCTAACCATTGCTATGTAGAACCTACCTTTAAGTTCCGGGGCACTTTCTTGTCATACAAAACGCCAGATGCTAACCTCCATTTCATCTAACCCGCCCCCCTATACGGTGCGTGACATCCTTGCCGATCTCCCCGTTCCCCTGGATCATCGACCCAAGGCACTTAAAACTTCCTTTCTGGGGGATGACTTATGAATCATATGAATCAAGCCTCACATCGCTGTACCCCCCCCCCCCCCCCCCGACACATCGCTAAACTTACACTCTAAGTACTCAGTCTTAATCTTGCTACCTTTAGACTCAAAGGTTTGTCTCCAAACGTCCAACTTCTCGTCAACACCTCCTCGCGTCTCATCAATTAGAGCTATATCATTAGCAAATAACATACACCATGGCAACAAATAAACGATGAAATACTTAAATAACATCATGATTCTCTTCCAGAAAAGTTACAAACTACGCATCCAGGGACCTAAAATAGTCTCGTACAAAGTGGTCATCGTACATAATAGAAAACACAAGTCCAGAAAATGCAAAACCCACAATACCCTATTCCGAAACTGCATTACCCCTAAAAAAAGAAAAAGAAAAGACAAGAGCAAGTATTGCAACATCACTGTTTCGAGCAGCAGACGAGGCTCAGATATTGTTCTCTCTTCCCTGCAAATGCTTGTCAAACCAAAACTGCCGAGATAAATCCTCTGACTTGGCTCCAACACCTGTACACATTTCATGGTAAGCTGTAATTAAAATCAAAATCTTGGTCCTTACATGCAGGGAACCTGGACCTGCAAAACTCAATAACTGTAAGACCAATACCGATATAACAAATTCAAAATCAAAAACAGTTTGAAAGCTACTAGCCTGGATGAGCTCTGGTCATAGAAACCTGACTGCACAAACAAGCAAAATGCATTTGCAAAATATACAAAAGTATAAATGATGCATGCAGTCATCTTCAAGATGACCTAAACCTAGGGGCGAGGAAAAAAACATTCGAGCTGGACAACCTAGACGAACAAATCAATGGCCAAGAAATGGTATTAAACTGGAATGTATGATAAAACAAAGAGAATGTCTTCATTTTCTTACATAATGTAATCCCGCTTAACACAACAAGGGACAATTTTATACCACGGACAATGATGTTACAAAAAGGAAAATGTATTTTAGAAAAGCATTTTTTTTTTTTTTTGCAAATTAATGAATGAGCATTCCTGTGATGATAGTTCTCAATTCCTGCTTCAAAAGATCACATCAAGGTAGAAACAAAACATGTAGAAGTATTAGGACATCTATAGAATTTTCCACCACTTCGACAAGTTTCTCATTACATTGTGCTCCGAAGTTCCAGTAAATCAGGACAAGAACAAATATAGCTGCACCTTAGATTTCTGGCACTCCATTACCTAATTTAAAATGTAATTCCTACTTTATCAGAAAGATATTACACAAATATGTTAATATGAGCCAAGAACAAAACAAAATTACATGCATCATTATTATTTTCTCCTAAATAACAAAACAACAGTTTGAAGAATTTGAACAAGCCAGCACAGGGCAATGTTAAGGAATTTCAGTTCATAACAATAAGATGTCAAAGATAGGTGTTTACACCCTAAAATTTTAAAACCTTGAAAATATTTCGTTTCCATACTCGACCAAAAATTCAAAATTTGAAAACAAAACAAAATGACACAAACATTTAGGGCCCATTTGGGTTTGTGGTAGTTGAAGTTATGTTCCGGTCATTGTAGTTTTTGGGAAAAAAGTTTTGTGAAAGTTAAAGACGGGGGTGCAAAGGAAGTCTGACAATTTTCACTAGATATATAAGTTTAAACTTCAAACCACTATTCCAACTTTAAAAATTTCACTTGAAGTTCAAATAAACCAACGATTTCACAAACAAACTTCTACATAGACATAAAATAACACTAAGTGGAGCCTAGTAGTGAGAATACTTGTCAAGTAAAAAAAGAGGGGAAAATGACCTCAGAAGGCATACATTGACAGTAGAGCATCACAGAACTAGAAATAAAAATGGATTTCAGAAAGAAGTTCTGTCAATCAGAACGAAAATACGGGAACCACAAACAGAATCTGGAAAGAGGAATTAGAAGGATGGTTTAAAGGGTAGATGTGACAGTAAACAATATATGATGCACACAAAAATGCATGTGAAAAGCCAGAACACCAAAAAAGGGTTGAAATTTTTTCAAATTGCTTATCAAAGAATTGAAAACCTGCACAACCTGCAAGTGGAAAATGGGCAGTAAGCTATGGCAGGTGGCTTTTCTTAAATGACAATATTTTAGGACAAAACACCATAAGGGATAAGGACACAAACCACTGCACGATATTTTCATTACTATCCATATGCACTTCGTTGTCATTGCTGATTGTAGTACTGATCTTGATTTTGAGCATATCCATTCTCGTTGTTTTCATTTTTGTACCTACTGTCTTCATTACCCCTGTTAGCAAGATCTGCCAATTCTTTTTCCCGGTTCCACTGCTCTATTCTTGCACGCCTCTCTTCACTGCCATCCCTAACTGGACTTCTGTCTCTCCTGCCACCAGGACTCCTGCTCCTACCCCTCCTACGATCAGGGCTTGTACTTCTGTTCCTCCTGCTACGACTCTCATAATAATGGTCCCTATCATCATACTTTCTACTATGACTCCTGCGAGAGCGCTCATCATAGCTGCGATGCCTATAAGGACTTCGGCTCCTGCTTCTGCTACGGCTATGCCTTCTCCTATACCTTCCAAACAACTGATGTCTCAATTCCCTAAATAGTCAGCATAAAAGACAGGTCAGCCAGAACTAAATTTCTAGGACTACCGAATTTATAGTTAAAAGAGTTCTATTTTTCATTTTTACATAGACTGGCACTAACCTGCTGATCCTTTTGAGGTGCATAAAGTTGCAATAGCCACCGCGGTTGCAAACATTTTCCTCGTACTGTCTACAGGTGGCTTCACGAAAATCAGTCACAGGAGAGAAATCAACAATGATGGGCCTTCCTGCAGAGTTTGTTACCAAAGGGAGCAAGGAAATGATCACAATATGAACTACTGGTGACAAACCGAAAACCTTGAGGTTGCTGATCCTTTTGAGGTGCATAAAGAGGCCAATGAAGCAAAAATTTATGTTATAGTGTGCAAATTTGGATCCAGCAACCTCAAGGTTGTCTTGAACACCCATTTCTGCTGTGCTAAAAGTCTTAAGTTGTCTCAAGGGTGCTCAACGTTTAAGTGTATATTGATAAACAACGGAATTTGACCTATTACACAGTGTAGTTTTCAAGTGAAGGGTGTTCAATACAGGTTGGTTGTAGCTTCACTGCAGGTTCTGATAACAGTAATCCACACTTGACATGCCCTTTGGCCATTCTTTTCTCCTCTATGCAAAATTTTTAACACCGAAATGGTCAGTGAGAAGTAGAAAACTTACCAGCATAGAATCTTCCAGTGAGATTCTTCAATGCATTTCCAGCCTGCTCTTCCTCTCTAAACTGAACATAAACATTACCAACCTGCACAGAAGACATCATTACATAGTTATATAAACCAGCAGCCCTGATCAATGGATAATCCAGCAAATAACACAGAAATCTTACCATGTGATCAGCCAGATTGTCACAAACATTCAGGCTCTCAATCTCTCCGTACTTGTTCAGTTCTTCAAACAAGTCTTCATAAAAATCCTGCAACAGTACCATCATAATATCATAATCCAAATTTTCGATTCATCACCTCACGTCAATATCTTCTCCAAGAACATGAACCACAAAGCTATTTGCTAACTATGGATAAAAGTTACATACACTGACAATGTAAAGATTCTTTTACATTATGAGTGAATTTGTAATAAGAAATTAGTAACCAGTTTTACCTAATTACCAAGTAATCCTTGTTAAGAGATTTACCATTAATTATCTAATAAATTAGATTAGTCACCTCTCCATGAAGTATTCTCCAAAAACATAACATGGATTAAAGTTATACTCCCTCCGTTTCAATTTATGTGAACCTGTTTCATTTTTAATCCGTGCCAAAAGAATAACCTCTTTCCATATTTGGAAAGAATTTACTTTTATGCAAGATTTTACACCACAAGTTCAAAAGTCTCCTCTCTTTCCTTAAATTCCGTACCCAATCAAATAGGTTCATATAAATTGAAACAGAGGGAGTATATACCAAGTTACTAACAGTATAAAAATTCTTTTACCTGCTGTGATAGCAAATTAGTTACTCCACTATTTTACCTGATTACCTTATGAAGAGATTCACCTGTAATCACCTAATAGGTTAAATAATTTTTACACCGTCTCAGTACATTAAAACTTAAACTCAGGAACCACTAAAAGGCAACTCAAAAGAAGCAATCATATCATAACACGTGTAGAATCACGATTATTTGATGTATACCTCAAAGTGTTGCTGGATTTTATGAGGATCAATGGGATGGCCTTGAGGATCGACGCCAGGGGTAATACTGTCAGGTCTTTGGTACATGTTGGAGAGGAGAATGGTAGGGCTAATACTGGGCTTAGTGTGAAGCCTCGAACAGCGATCGCCATGCCTACAAGCTCCGATTTTGAAGTAGAAAGGGCAATTCACTCTGTCTTTTTCCGTGCCGAAAATCGAAGCCAAGTGCTCTGCCATTGCGATTTGAGATTAACGGAAATCTCTTTCTGGAATTGTAGAGGAAAAGATAAGAGTAGAAGAAATTAGGAGGAATTATCTGGAAGACTTAAGAGGCTTGTAGATGTTCTAATATAAGATTATTTTTAGTTATATTTATTTACTATGTTTTTGGAGCATAGCGCGGTGATTTGCCCGAGTGGTTAAGGGGGAAGACTTAAGATCTTCTGCACATAAGTGCGCGTGGGTTCGAACCCACAGCCACCAATCTATTTTACAGTTTTTTGTAATATTCCTGTTTTCTTTTTTCTTTTCATTCTTTGGGTTTTTAAATATTTCCTACTTTCTAATTTTATCTATTTTTCATATGTTTAAAAGACTTTAGGTTAAGAGGGGATTCCAATGGATGTTGAAAATTATAATGTTAGGATAAAGCTTTATCACAACTTCCAACTTAATCATTTTCTTTTCTATTTTTGTTTCAAGTTTTTGAATTAATGCCCAATTCTAGTATATAAAAATGTTTTTCCATCTTTAATTTTTTTTTCTTATTACACTAGGATACTAGGTAAGGTGAAAAAGGAAAGAATGACAGTAGGAATCATTTTCCTTATTCACATGGTTTCTATTATCTTGAGTTTGCTATTATCGCATATCTTGTCTTGTTATTACTTGACATCAGTGCTTCCTTAGTTTGCTTATCAATATTCCATTCATATTCTCTATTGCTATCAGACCCTCGGATTTAGTTCTCTAAATATGTTGTCTTGCTATTACTTGTTATCGTTATTTCTTTTATATTCTTTATTGCCATCTTCGATTTAATTTTCTAAACATATTGTCTTGCTATGACTTGCTATCAACACTTCTTCAATCTTCTTTAGCGAGGTCTATCGGAAATAGTCTCTCTGCCCTTCCAAAGTAGGGGTAAGACTGCATACATCCTACCCTCCTTAGACCTCACTTGTGGGATTACACTGGGCTATTGTTGTTGTACTATGTTTTCTTGTCACTTCTCCCTTTAAAAAAAAATGGATACAAAAACCTTCCCTAATTTTTCACCTTTTGCTCAAAACTCTAATTCTTATTTTTGATTTTCTATTCTTTGATTGTTCTAAGTTTCTATTCCCTTTAGCTAAATCCCATTTACCTTCAACACATTTAACTGCAACACATCACCATTTCAGAAATAAAAATATTTTTACCCTGAAAAGATTTGAATAATTAAGATTCAGGCTTTAAAAACAAACGCACTTAATATCTGAGATCTGAATGATTAAGATTCAGACTTCCATTAAGTGCAAACAAATGAGGCCTAAATCCCATTTACCTTCAACACATTTAACTGCAACACATCACCATTTCAGAAATAAAAATATTTTTACCCTGAAAATACCAAAATCTGCGTCTGCCGGGAGTCGAACCCGGGTCTATTGCTTGGAAGGCAATTATCCTAACCGTTGGACTACAAACGCTATTGTTGTTGGATAAAACAAGCTTACTACTTCTCGTCTATGCATCAGTGAAATATATCCTTATTTTCCTTTTGGTAACTAGTCAACATTTAATAATTACCAAGTGAGAAATAAAAACCCACTCTGACTCAAACGCAATCAACTGATCTCAAATAAAAGACACCAAAAATCCAACTAACTTGAAAATATCCTAATCTGTAGGTGTAAGATGAAGAAACACACTACCTAGGGAGGATTTCTTCCTCATGTAATATATGTTCCAATTTCTTTGTGATATTGATGGTCTTACGAGTTCTGAGACAATGAAAAGCTTTTTAGAAAGCTTACTATATGGCCAAATGTTTTTTGTTAATACTCTTATACAAATAAGAAGCTTGATACTCTTCATAGATTATAAATCCTCTTTTCAGTTAAAAATATTTTAAAGCTTCCCTTTTACACAGTCACAATATCTGATTTATTCATGTTGAAAGCCCAGCCCGTCTAAAAGTTCTCCTAGCCCAGCTCCACTAAGGCTTCCATCAGGCCTTTTTCGGGGAAGTGCCCAGTTAGCCACTAATTAGAGTTGTCTTTACTTTTTAGCCACTGTTTAAAATGTATTTACTCTTTAGCCAGCTTAATAAATTTTTACTCACCCGGACGAAAATACCCCTGTGCTATGTAAATATTAAGGACACGGTGTCCTTAACTTCATGAATGTTGTGTAAAGATTAAGGACAAAGTGTCATGTATTTGCACCTTCAGTTGTTAAACTTTAGGGCATCATGCTCTTAACTTCATATGTGCAGTGTAAATGTTGAGGACATGTCATCCTTAACTTCATGTGTGCAGTGTAAATGTTAAGGACATAATGTCCTTAACTTTATAAGTGTTGTGTAAATATTAAGGACATGATGTCCTTAACTTCATGAATGCTGTGTAAATATTATAGACAAAGTGTCCTGTATTTGCACCTTCCGTTTTTAAACTTTAGGACATCATGTCCTTAACTTCATATGTGCAGTGTAAATGTTAAGCACACCATGTCCTTAATATTTACACAGCACTCATGAAGAAAGGCTAAAAATGTCTTTTCGTATTAATTTTAATAGAGTAGTGGCTATTTTTGCCCAGCATTAAAAATACTGAATAAAAACTAAATACCATGTTAAAAAGTGGCAATCTCACGCCATTTCTATGCCTTTCTCGTTGCTGCCTACAAGCTAAGGGCCAAGACTTCGAACGAGAAAGAGCCTAGCCCTCTGCGTGTCTGGCCATAAATGAACCACTTTATCTCGTCAATAATAAATCCTATGAGAATCAAAAATAGTAGACTTAAACTGTACAACAACAGTAAAATTTAATAAGTGAGGTCTGAGAACAATAGTGTATACGCAGTCCTTATTCTTACCTTGTGCAGGTAGAAAGAATATTTTCGATAGACCCTCGACTCAAGGAAAACAAAGTCACAATAGTACAACAACAACAACACATTCAGTAAGATCCCCATATCGAAACCTTGTGCCTTCTTCTTCTTGTTCCATTATTGTGTATCTTCCTTTCCTGCTCTAGCGTTCCCCATTGCTCTTAACTTTTCGTTACTTGAATACCCGTTCTTTCTTTAGAACTATGGTTAAAGTATCTTCTGGTCGCATCAAGGAAAACAACCTGGTCCCCTTGGCGATGGTTTTGCCTTCTCACGCGGAGGGCATCTCTATTGCCATTGAGGATGAGGACTTCCCTCCGGTGGAGGAGATAGTTCCTCGTAGTGGAAAAGTTAGGTCTGATTTTACAAAGACGCCTGAGGCTGAGCCCGAGATCTCCGAGTCGACGGTGAAATAGGCCGATTAATTAGAGCTTAGTGCCAAATTCGACATTCCCGCTCGCATCGAGTTGGTCCTTGCAGAGCGGGATATGGTACAAGTCCACCGACCCGGGTATTGTGCGTTCTACGCCTACCCCTTCCATGTCAGCTACACTCTTCCCCTTCTCCCATTGGTGGAGGAGCTTTACCATTTCTATGGCGTTTTCCCGGCTCAGCTCGCACCGTATATCTACAAGCTCATTAGGATGCTTACTAAGTTTGCGGAATTGGCTAGGGTCGAGATCACACTTCGGCATTTGATGCATCTCTTCGCCCCTAGTTTCTATAGGGTGACAATGTTAAACGTTCGCCATCGAGGGGGCAAGTGCTTGGTGGTGAAGATAGACGACAAGGCAAACCGTCAATTCTAGCATAATTTATTTTTCTTTAGAACTGAAGACGCGGTGGCCAACCGACGGTTTTCCCGAAACTTGGAATTATACTCGTAAGTGTCTAACTTCTCTTCGTTGAGGTATTTGATTTACTTGCTTAGTCGTGGGTTCTGATCTCTTGCTCCTCTCTTATGCAGCCAAGACTACGCCCCCTCCTTTGGTCTGGGACATTTTTGATCGGGTCGACTGGCTCCTCCCTCACATCACGGGAATTCGTGAGTGGCCGTGCTTTTTTAAGAAGTTCGGGCCTGCTCCCTTCTTAACCGATGAGTTTCTTCATTTTGGCCTCTTAGTCGCTTACCTCTTATAGTTTGCTATGGTTGTTCTTCTTTTCATTTGCGCTTCTTTCATTTCCAGACCGAGGGACTTCGAGGAGGCCGATAGCTCCCCCACCTGCATTCCGTAGAGGAAAGCTGCTTCCTCTTTGACTTCTGCCCCCTCTACGACTGCGACTAGGTCTGCTCGCTCTTCGGTCCCACCTACTGCTGCTTCAGTCTTAAAATACTTCTCCATCTACAGATATTCTGTTAGCAGAGCCTTCGACTTCCCCCTTGTACCATCTTGTGGATGAGGAGGAGGAATCATTGCCAAATGACGGGGATTTGGTGCCCCGTAAGAGGAGGTCAGTGGACGTTGGCGATGAGGTTGTTCGGGTCGCAGATTCTGTGATGGGTGATTTCACCCTCCATGAAACAGTGACCATAGTTCTTGAGGTGTCTGAGGTTCCGAGATCGGTGGAAGCCGTTGAGGGTGTATCTCTTCCTTCTACGACGATGGAAGTCGAAGGTCCGACTACTAGGGTTTCTGATACTTCAAGGCAAGAAGGGCCATCGACTTCACAACCAGCCGACGATATTTCTTTGCCATCTGATGGGACAAATAAAGGTGTTGCCGAAGATGGTTATGAGATGGGTTCAGACGTCGACACCGCAAAATGGAGGAAGTTGAAGGAGGGGTTTACCCAACTTGAGATGAGGTTGGAGGGGTCTACGAGGACTATTGCGATCCACATGGATCATGATCTGTTGAAGAATATGGAGAACGTAGTCCCTTTCCTCGACCCTCTTTGCTGTGACGTGGAAGGCAAAACCCTCAGAGAGCTGGACGACGTCACTCTATCGAGGAGCATAGATGGCCTTGCCCTCAGGGTGAGTATTTTAGGGCTTCATTTTTCCGACTAGCATTTTTGTTGTGTTTTGTCTTTGTTGGTGGGCGTCCTCATTATTTGCTTCTTTTTCTTATGATTGCAGACCATGATTTTGGAGATAGAAAGCTCTCAAAGGGAGGAGAGGCGTAAGCAAATTTTTGAGAAGTTGGAGCGCAAGTATCTTGAGTACCGTGGTAAGTACTGGGAGATTCGCAGGCATTTTGGCGAGGGTG